TCATTTAAACATGTTGCTATATTAGTAAAATTAATCTCACATCAGCAAAGTCAATGCCACGTTAGTAAGGTCAATACTTACATTATCAAGTAACGATCATGTTAATATTTTTAATGGCAAAATTTTGAAGGGTTTGTAATTGGATTTAGATTATAAAATCAAAATACTATGACGATTACATTTTCATGAATTATACTAAAGGGACTTAATTTTAAATTTTGTTAAAGTACAAAAACTATTATCATAAATTGACCTTTTAACTAATATAGTTAATAAATATAGTGATTTGTCATACGAAATACAAGTTTAGGTAGTAATTACAAATTCTTATTCTTTGGATACTAAAATGACATAATTGTATAGTCTAAGAGACAAATACTTATAAGTATTTATCCATTAAAAAATTGACATTAACATGCATTTAACGTTTACATTACAACAATAACAATAAACTAAGCCTTATATCCTATAACTATCGAGTTGGCTGTGTGCAAGACAAAAAGAAAAAAAAAATCATGTTAGGTCGTAATTTTAAATTTTTTTATGCCACTCATTTCTATAAAAAAAAAATTTCATCTACTTCTTTAATCGTCATATCATATTTTATTACTTACATCCAAGTTTTTCATGATCTACCTTTAGAAGTTTTAGTCTCTCCTAAATACAAAAGATCATTTCTCCTAACTAGTATACAGGTAGGCCTATATTTTATGTGTCCAAACCATCTTAAATGGTCTTTTCTCATCTTTCCTTAATTCGTATTACTTCTAATTTTTTTTGAATCTCTTTATTTTTTATTTTTTTCTTCTAATCTTACCATACATCCATTTAAGTATCCTCATCTCTGCTACTTTTATTTCTTCTCATATTGATTCTTAATAACCTAACACTCAGTCTTACATAACAATGTAGGTCATACAGATATTTTATACAAATTTGCCTTTAACTTGAAAGACATGTTGTGATTACACAATCACTCGATGCATTTCACCACCTCAACTTTCTTGCTTGAATCTTATGAGCTACATCCTTTTCTATCTCAACATCATTTTAAATAGTTGATCTCAAATATCGAATATGACTATTTTTTGGTACTACCTCACCATCTAACTCAATCATATTAACACTTGTTTTACTATGAGTACTAAACTTACATTTCATATATTTAGTTTTAGATATATGTAATTTAAAACCTCGAGACTCTAACATATGTCTCTATAATTCTAGTTTCATATTGAGATCATCATTAATTTTAACAACTAAAACTATATCATCAGCAAATAACATATACTATAACATCTTATCTTAGACGTGTTCAGTAAGCTCATCTATAACTAATGTAAAAAGAAATGGATTTAGTGCTAAGCTTTGATACAATCCTAAGGTAATTGGAGAACTATCAATCAAGCTACTAAACGTTCTTACATTTGTTATAGCTTTTTCATACATAACTTTAACTATGTTAATGTATTTTAAAAGAACTTCTTTCTTCATTAAGGTCCATCAAAGCACCTTTAAGAAAACTCTATCGTATGCATTTTCCAAGTTGATAAATAGCATATGAAGATTTTTCTTTCTTGCTTGAAAATCCTCAAACAAAAGCCTCAATAAGTGAATTGCTTTTGTTATAGAGCATATTAGCATAAACCCAAATTGATTTTCAAAAATAGTGACCTCATGTCAAAACCTACATTCAATTATTCTTTCCTAAAGTTTCATAGTATGACTCATAAGTTTTATTTCTTGATAGTTTGAATAAATTTGTATATCACCTTTATTCTTGTATAAAGGCACAAGAGTACACTTTCTTCATTCATTTGGCATCTTTTGAATATGTCAAATTTTGTTGAAAAAATTAGTAAACCATCGTATCCCTATTTCACCATAGTATTTCCAAACCTCAATTGGGATTCTATCTAGTCTTATATCTTTCTTTGCTTTCATCATTCTTAAAGCCTTTTTAACTTCATACTTTTTAATATTATGTTCAAACACATGATTTATATATTTAAAATATATGTTAAGCTCACCTATATCATGCTCAATTTTGCCATTAAAGAAATTATAAAAATAATCTCTCAATCGCTTTTTAATCTTCTCACCCTTTACCAAAATTCTTGTCATCACCTTTGATGCATCTTACGTTATTAAGATCTTTACTCTTCTTATCCCTCATCTTAGAAATTTTGAATAACTTTTTTTCTCTATCTCTTATTTTCAATTTTCTATATAATTTCTCATGAATCCTTGTTTTTAAATCTCGAATAGTTTTTTTAACTTCTTTTTTTACTATCTTGTATTTCATATAACTTGCCTGGTCCTTATTACTTTTTAAATTCTTATAACACTCCTGCTTGGTTTTAATTGTCATTTTCACATCCTTATTCTACCATTAAGATTTCTATCATAATGGTGCATGATCCCTAAATTCATCCAGTGTCTTTTTAGCAACCTTTTTAATTTTAGTAAAACTTTTTTCTCACATTATTTTTACATCTTTATTAAGTTTCCAATCAACCTCTTTTACCAGTTTATCCTTAAAAGCTAACATTTTACCTCCCTTCAAGTTCTACCACTTAATATGTGGTTTATGATTTCAATGTATCCTTTTTGACTATTGAAGGTGAAAGATATCTAGAATTAGCAATCTATGTTATGTTGTCACTCTCTCTCTTGGTATAACCTTACAATCCTTACAGCTACTTTAATCCTCTTTTCTCGTTAAAAGAAATCAATTTGACTAATTTTTGACCAATTATTAAAAGTTACCCCATGTTATTCTCTTTTCTTAAAACACATGTTTAATACAATTAGGTCAAATTCAGTAACAAACTCTAGAATATTATCCTCGATAGTGTTTCTTTCTCAAACCCATGTCCTCCATACAACCTCTCAAAGTCATTACAATCCTTGCCTACATGACCATTTATATCTCTTCCAATAAATAACTTTCCTCTGTTTGATATGACTCGCACTATCATATCTAAATCTTTAAAAAAATTTTACTTACTCACTTGATCCAAACCTTTTTCCTAAGACTAACCACTAAAGATATTAATAGTTTTCTCTACTATAATATGTTTAATACATAAAATTCTATCTCTTTTTTCTTTTAAACTCAACTATATCATCTTTCAAAATTTTATTTATAATTATCCTCATTTCATTTCTACTCCTATCTTTACTTGTGTACCAAAGTTTAAAGCTTCATATTTTTATCTTTCTAGTCTTTTCCCCTACCCACTTAGTTTCTTAGAGACATGTAATATTAATTCGTCTCCCATCTCTAGTAGTTTATCAGTTAATGATCTTATATTCAAAGTAGTTAAGCATAATTTACCCTCATGGACTAGTTTTTTTTATTCATGTTCATTCATTAAAAAATGAGAACCATCGCCTATTTGACACCACACCTAGGTAGCTCGTCACTTCTGAGTAACAACCTAGTAACCCTTGTCTATTTAACATTACACTTGGACTTTGATATAAGGTGCCACTACAAGGCAATGATCCAAAAAAAAATTTTATTTTGATCTCTCATCATGATTTGATTATGTTTTATGCTAATTGTTATCCTCTCGCAACATTTTTCGCTTTATTTGAACTCGAGACTAGCATTATGATAACTCATAGGTGGAATTGCATGTAATGTTTACATTATAATAATTATTTTTTGTAGATTAAATAAATTTTATTAATTAAATAATTCATTTAATAAATTTTAAATGAAATAAGAAATCTTTTTTATAAAATAGATAAATATTATTAACATTTATATATTATAAAATATTTAAAATGATATTTAGTTAAAAACTATAATAAAAGAAATGTTCATTTTATTCGATCAAAAGTTTGACCAACATACGTATTTACGTATATATTATGTACGATAGATTATATACGTAGATATAAATATGGATCTATAGATTATTGAACATAAATTATAGATTTTGCCAAACGGCAAAGAAGAAAACCAGAGGGGCAAAGATCATGAGAGAAAAGAACCAAAAAAGAAAATCATGACAGCAAAGGTGGTACGCGGTTATTGACTAATTAATTTTTTTTCATTGACTTTAATTTGTTTTTAGCACTAAATTAGGGATGCGACCTTTTTTTTTTATTTGGCCGGAAGAAATTAAGGATGTGACCTTTGTAAAAGAGAAAAGAAAACATTTTAAACGAAACGAAGTTGCATGAAATATCAGTGGCGTGAATAGAATGCTATAATTAATTCTTTAGCAGAGCATTGTTGACTTGGAGAGACACAATCCTATATTTCAAGCTTTCACCCACGGAAAACTTGAAACCGTGGACTAAGATTGCGACGAAACATTTAGCAGATTTTACATTCCGACGAGAAAAATTGACTACTGCCTATTGCCGAATTGATTGACTTAAATCATTTTTTCTTCCTTTTCACTTCCCGTGATTTATTTATTATTTAATATTTGTTATATGTGTTTTTGTCTGAGCAATAATTTAAAGTATCTAACAAAATTGAATTCATCATACATTTGGCATTATAATGTTATCATGCTCTCCAACAACCTAATTTTGGTGTTCAACACGGTTACCTGTTGATCGGCCAGAGGAAAAAAAAAAGATTTGATGCCTTATTAGTATACAAATTTTATATATTATCAATAAATTTTTTAAAAAATATTTATTTTATATATTTATTTTAAGATTAATATTTATTTATTAATAAAATAACATCATTTAATCTATTAATAAGGTATAAAATTTATTTACTAATAATATATTAAATATACACTCAACATAAATATATAAATTAAGCTGCATACAAATATAAAATAAAACTTATTGACAAAAGCATGAATACTAAATTTTCTACTCTCTACCAAACCCAAACAGCATTCTTTATGGTTAACCTTATTTGACTTAAAAGCTTCTCCACTATATATATACATATATATACATCTACATATATATATATATATATATATATATATATATATATAGTTTGCTCATCTCAAAAGGCTAACTCAAAATCCTTCCTTTCCTTTGCAACTCTACCAAAGAGTGAATATTAAAAAATGGAGTTGTTTTTCCTATGTGGTCTCACTCTCTTCGTCCTATTTGTCTCCTTTTCGCTTCTCTCTCTCTTTTCCTCCGCCCGGAGGATGAACGCGTCCCAGTCAAAAAACCTTCCTCCTGGTAGAACAGGCTTGCCATTCATTGGCGAGAGCCTTGAATTTCTGTCAACAGGCCGAAAGGGTCACCCTGAGAAGTTTATATTTGATAGAATGGCCAAGTACTCCGCTCAAGTATTTAGAACATCAATACTAGGAGAAGCTACAGCAGTTGTTTGTGGAGCAGCTGGGAACAAATTCTTGTTCTCTAATGAAAACAAGCTTGTCACTGCATGGTGGCCAAATTCCGTGAACAAGATATTCCCTTCTTCTACCCAAACATCTTCCCAAGAGGAATCCAAGAAGATGAGGAAACTACTCCCTACTTTCCTCAAACCAGAGGCCTTGCAAAGATATGTAGGGATGATGGATACTATTGCACAAAGGCACTTCGAGTATGGTTGGGAAGGCCATCAACAAGTAGCAGTGTTTCCACTTGCAAAGAACTACACCTTTTGGGTTGCATGTAAGGTGTTCTTGAGCATCGAGGATCCTGAACATGTAGCAAAATTCGCCGATCCTTTTAACGTTTTGGCCTCTGGGATTATATCAATTCCCATAGACTTGCCAGGAACACCTTTCAACCGTGCCATCAAGGCTTCAAACTTGATAAGAAAAGAACTGAGTGCTATTATCAAACAAAGGAAGATTGATCTTACAGAGAAAAAAGCATCTCCAACACAAGACATACTATCACATATGCTGTTAACAACAGATGAGAATGGGCAGTACATGAATGAATTGGACATAGCCGATAAGATTCTTGGCTTGTTGATTGGGGGTCACGATACCGCAAGTGCTGCTATCACTTTTATTGTCAAGTACCTTGCTGAACTACCTGAGATTTACCACAAAGTGCTAACAGGTGATATATCTTTCTATTAATTAAAGCCAAAAGACTTCAGTCAAGTTGGATATCTATCTTTATTCAAATCTAATAACATATTTCAGTGTCAACAACATTTTTAAAAGTGTTAGTCCGTCTCCTAGTATGATACTCTGATTTTATGTAATGGACATTTTTTTATTTTTTATTTTTGTTTTTAATGATTATTTTTCATCTTCACTGCATCGCTATCTTTATTTTTGTTAAGCACATATTTTTTCACTTTTACTCCAACTCTAATCTCACTATAAATATTATTTTTAATTTGATCTGAATAAATTTCACTCTTCGTTCACTTGGACTTTTTTTTTTTTTTTTGTTAGTATTTGTCGGCTTTGACTTGACAAACAAACTAAGAAAAAGTTTTGACCTGATATTATTATTATTATTTGTAAAATGGAGATTTGAACCTACCTAATTAATTTTTTAATAAAAATAAACATGTTTAATTAACATTAAAACGAAATATATTTTAGATGCGCAGTTGAAATATTTGACCAGATGAGATAATTACATTTATGAACCTTTTAAGATCTTGACTTTTTCCATATTTTTCTACCATATATTTGATCAGATGAAATAATAATAAAACAAATACGTTATATACAGTTCCTATTTGCAGGCGTATATATGAACTTTTACTCTTCCTCCAAAATTTTTAATATTAATACTTTAATTTGTCCATAGTTAATTTTGAACAGAACAATCCAGGGAATTTAATTGTTGATTATTACATCTTGTTTGAATGTTTGTTCTGAAAGTTTGGTGCCATGATGATATTGTGACTTGTGCCCATAGACTTGGCATATTCTGTCTTATTTTTGGTATTGGCTGTTTGCTCAGTATATGAAAAGCAAAAATGTGAATTTGGATTAAAGAAAATAATTTTTTAGGAAATTAAAAAATTTTAAACCTAATATTTTAATAACAGGTTAATTATTTTACTTCTGTATAACATATTTGTATGTTACCGCTTGGGCTTACTTTAAGTTAATAAGGGCATAAAAATGAGAGTTGGTACATATCTTGGGCAAGAGGCACAGTGCGTCTTAAAAATAATTGTAATTGTAATTTATTTTGTGGTAATCTTCATTTGACTATTTTTGAAAATCTCAACAATTTTTAAGCAATATATAATTGTAGGATTTTTCTTTCTACTAATTTTTTTTTACCAACTCTATATCCACCAAATTTTTTTTATTTTTTATTTTTTGTGGGAGACTCAGGTAGATAGATTCAAACTTGTATACTTGAAGTCAAAGGAATAAAATACAGAGTTTGATATTTCTGACAATTTGTGTGTTACAGAGCAAATGGAGATTGTAAAATCAAAAGCCCCCGGAGAGTTGCTGAATTGGGAAGACATTCAAAAGATGAGGTATTCATGGAATGTGGCATGTGAAGTACTGCGTCTTGCTCCACCTCTTCAAGGGGCTTTTAGAGAAGCCCTGAACGAGTTCATATTTTCTGGCTTCACCATTCCAAAGGGTTGGAAGGTCAGTGAAAAACTTGACCACTTTGAAGTTGACTAATTTTGATTATACATTTGACTAACAATATTGTTCTTATAAATTTATAAATATTGTATAGTTGTACTGGAGTGCGAACTCAACCCATAGAAATCCAGAATGCTTCCCGGCGCCTGAAAAGTTTGACCCATCGAGGTTCGAAGGGAATGGACCAGCTCCTTACACATTTGTTCCATTTGGAGGAGGACCAAGAATGTGTCCAGGGAAGGAGTATGCTCGACTGGAAATACTAGTTTTTATGTACAATATTATGAAGAGGTACAAATGGGAGAAGCTTCTTCTTGATGAGAAGATCATTGTAGATCCAATGCCAATGCCTGCAAAAGGACTGCCGGTTCGCCTGCTTCCTCAATCAACTGCCTAGTTTTCTTTTGCCATATCTTTTCCCAATTCTATAATAGTTTCCAAGGGGAGAAGTTTCCAAGTCATCAAGGCATTTTCAGCCAAGGATAGCGACACTCGTGAAATTAACGCATTCATGTGCTGTTATTGATAGAAATTGCATGTGTAATATTAATTATATTGACCAAAAATGTAGAAAGCCTTCTATCTGGCCTTAAATAAAGATCAATTAGAATTTTGTACCTCTATATGTTTTCTTTGTACGATTTTCTAATATTAGAAAAAAAAGAAAAGAGATTGTGGAAACACTTTAGATAAGTCTTCTTATACAAGAAAGAAGTGAAACGCCATTTCTTATGGAATTCCCATTAATCCTAGAATACTTAATAACACAGGATCTAGCAAAGGCACATATATTGAATTTTGCTATCTTTGGAGGAACTCATGAATTAGTGTAAGCTATGAATATGTTTCCTTGTGTTTCATTTTCAATCTAAAGGTTCAAGCCTTGATTACCTTTAGACATACACTTTACATAAAAATCAAAATTGCATTTTCTTAAGATTGCGTAAGCATTTGCATATCTTTGGTAATAAGTGGTTGATTGTTCTATATATTACTAGAGAGTAATGTTTTTAAAATAAAAACATTGATTTTTAAAGTATATAGACTGAATGTGTATTGAAAAATGTTTTAGAAGTGTTTGGAATGAAGTCATAAGGGAGTAATTGATTGAGCAGTCGATTGCTGTAGCAATACTGTCATAACGTATAGATCCATGGATCTACCACTAGACATTGATTAAAGGAGTCACCACCAATCTTTTTTGTTTAGGTGTGATTGGCCACCTAATTGAATCTGATCCATAAAACTAGATTTAAGTTCAATAATGCAATTATGTGTGAAGAAGGTTATAACACCCTCACAACGCCCATTTAAAAGATGGTACCAGTTTGATTCTTAATTATCTAAGTTTTAAAAATATTTATGCTTTACCAAAATATTTAATATTGAGAATTAACCTTAAAATTATCTCAATAGTTTGGTAGCAGTTTAAGATCATTCTCTTACCTCAACAATATTCATGGAGACTAGTGTCTCACTCTAAATAGGCTTCGTCATCAAATTTATTAATATATTTTATTCAAAAAAATTAGTAAAGCCCTCTAATAGTTTGATAGGATTTATTTTGAAATAGATCTACCAATAGTTTAGTGAGATTTTATTTGAAAGATATTTATAAATTTCTTTTTATTTTTTGACAAAATCTATTAAGCCTTCCAGTAGTTTGGTGGGACTTAATTTAAGAAGCAAATCTTCCAATAGTTTGGAGGATAAAAATTATTTTTTTTTATTTTTTTGAAAATTGATTTATGAATTTTTTTTCAATAGTTTGGTGGATTCCATAAAAATTGAACTCATGAAAATTTTCCAATAATTTGGTAAGATTCATGAATTTATTTGAAAAAGATTTTTTTTCTCTATATTTTTTTATTATTTTCCCGAAATAAAAATTTATTTTTGCTAAATATTTAACAAATAATAAGTTATTCAATAAAAATGAATAAATAAATAATAAAGATCAATAATATAAAATAAAATAAAAACTCAAACTATAAAATAAATAAAATTAAAATTAAAATTAAAAAAACCTGCGATTGGGTAGGGTTGGAGCACGAGTCAACCCACGGATCCTATTTGGGTTACACGGGGATCTGGGTAAGTAAAAATGTTGTCATTTTGAGATGGGTATAAAAGTCAATCTTTAACCTTTTCTTTCATGAGCCTTTGGTTCCTTCTCTCTCTACCCAAAAATTCCTCTGACCTTTCCCTAGAATAGCTAAGAACAACCCAAGAACATTCCACTGAAAATTAGAAAACCCATTGATTTATGAAAAAGTCACCGAAATGTTCAATTGAAAACTAAAAAACCTATCGATTTCTAGAAAAGTTGCCAGAATCCCACTGAAAAATTTAACCTTCACCGAAAAATTGCACCAAAAAATTCAAAAATTCATCATAAACCTAGGTTTCCAAAATTTTTTTATATTTCTTCAAAATTTTCCCAAAAATTCCTAGATTTCTCCAAATTACTTCAGAAACCCTTCAGAAACATAAACTTAATCCTCAAAAGCCAAATCTAAACCTAAAAAATTCAAATCAAACCCAAAATTCACAAAAGTCAAAATCCCAAAAATTTCCTACTGCCCAAAAAATCTTCCAGAATACCATTTCTCCCAAAATCAATCATGTCCTATTCTTTGTAACCTTGTTCAATTTATAGGTAGTTCATAGTAAAGATTTTAAGGATCAGATAGAATCAATCCAAGCTTGAATATTGGGATTGGATTCTACCCGAACATGCTAGGTTTCAGCAATTTGTCTGGATTGAATCTAAAACCCTCGATTATGAAATAAAACCTTTGATTATCTGGATTGAATTCAGATTTTAGTTTCCTAAATCTACGATCGTAGATTGAAGAAATTAAAGAAAGAAAAATAAAAAAATAATAATATAGTATTGTATTGTATAGTATAATATAATATAATATAATAATAAATATAATATAATAATGATATAACATGATGTAATAAAATATAATAATAATATAATGTACTATACCATAATATACTATCATACAATATACTATACTATAATATACTATATAATAATACATTATAATACACTATATAATAATAGACCATAATAATATACTATAATAATAATATAATAGAAAAATAAATAGTTCACTTCGGACACATATGGGTATCTATAGTTGTCCCTCTTTGCACCTTTCTATTAGATATGGATGAAGCAAAGACCTTGACATCCATTTTGTTTTTGTCTGAAAATAAGAGTTAAATAAGTGAAAACAACAGGGACTAAGTTGTAAGTCGAAAAGATGAATGGATAAAGTTGAGATTAAACGATCGGGATTAAACCATAAGTCTGAAAAAATGATTTGGACGACGTTGAAGTCAAGCGATTGGGACTGAACCGCAAGTCTGGAAAACTAACTTGGACCGAGTCAAGATCAAACAACTGAGACTAAACAGTGAGTCTAGGAAAACGATTTGGACTGAGTCAAGATTGAACAACTGGGGATTGAATAGCAAGTCTTGAAAAATGATCTAGACTGAGCCAAAATCAAACAACTGGGATTGAATTGTAAGTCTTGGAAAACGATCTGGACAGAGCTGAAATCAAGCGACTGGGATTAAATCACAAGTTTGAAAAACTAACTTGGACTGAGTCGAGGTCAAACAACTAAGATTGAATTGCGAGTCTTGGAAAATGATCTGAACTAGGCTGAGATCGAATGAATGAGATTGAACTACAAGTCTGAAAAAGTGATTTGGACAGAGCCAAGATCGAGTAACCAGGATTGAACCGCAAGTCTGAAAAACTAACCTGGACTGAGTTGACTTTGAACAACTAGGCTTGAACTGCGAGTCTTGGAAAACAATCTGGATTGAACCGAGATTGAACGTCTAGGATTGAACCATAAGTGTGGAAAAGTGATATGGATGGAGTCGAGATTAAAACAAGTGATAAATGAAAATGCAATAATGCAAATGCATGCCCTATAAGGATGTAAATAAAATGTTAATTGTGGTACTAAGGCACTAACAACTTTTTTCTATGTTCTGCATATTTCTCATAAGAAGATTACAAACCATCCTTCATTGTTCAGGATAAGCATTTATCTTTGTCCTAAGGGAAGTTTTCAAAATTAAAGGCTTCATCTTATTTTGAGGATTTCATCCTTAACCCTTATCCCTTTCAATTTTCTCACAGTAATACACAATTTCTTATGCCATTACTCAATTATTAATCGTTCTCTCAATTTTAAAATATAATATGCAAGTTGTGCTCTTTTTTTATTCAAGGCAAGGCCTAGAAAGAAAAGATTGATATTGAAAAGAGAAGAATATGATGAAATGAATATTATTTATTTAAAGAAAAAGTAATTTATTGATGATGCCAAAGGAACAAAATAAAGGTACAAAAGGATAGCTACTTGGGTGAGCAATGCCCCAAAGTGAATAATCAAATAAATATGATAACAAAACTTGGATTTCTTAAAAAACTTAACCATATATGACGCCTTGACACTTCAGATCTCTTCAAAATTCATCGACTTTGGTATGCCTCTCAAGTGATATCATATCCTCCTTATCTAATTCACCTTTGCAGGTTTTTAGTTTAGATATCCCCATTTAGTTCAAGCTGCACTTTTAGGTTTTTAACTTGAACTCTTTTTTTTTTTTTGTTCAAGCCACCTTTTCGGGTTTTTAACTTAAACTTTTTCTTTTTTTTTTCAAGCAAAGTATTTTTTACGACATTAAAATTTATGAGATTGGGGAGATCATCTTCATCCATTTCAACTAATAACAATGTTCCATCTGAGAAAGCTTGTTTCACAATATACAGCCCTTCCTAATTCGGAGTCCACTTTCCCTTATCATTATGTTGACTTGGGAGAATTCTTTTCAATGCCAACTCATATTCTCAAAATTGACGAGGTTGAACCTTTTTATCATGAGCTTTCATCATTTTTTTTGTGCAATTGGCCATGACAGAGCACTGCCAATCTTTTTTTTTTCAATGAAATTTAACTATTCATAACACTCTTAGACCCATTCAACCTCTTCTAATTCCACTTCCTTTAGGACTTTCAGAGATAGGATTTCTACTTCTACTGCCAATATAGCTTTCATTCCATAAACCAAGAAAAAAAGAGTTGCCCTTATAGAAGTATATACAAATGTTTGGTAGGCATACAGAGTAAAAAGTAGCTTTTTATGCCAGTATTTATATGTCTTAGTCATATTTTTCAAAATCTTTTTGACATTCTTATTTGTAACTTCGACTACCTCATTCATCTTTGGGCAATAGGGAGCTAAATTATGGTGTTTAATCTTGAACTGAGTACATATTTCTAGCATCATCTTGCTATTCAAGTTCTTTACATTATTTGAGATTATTCTCTCTGAAAGTCCATATCAGCATATTATTTTTCTTTTGATGAACTTGCAGACTACTGAACGAGTTATAGTTGTAAAAGAAGCTGCTTCAACTTATTTGGTGAAGTAATCAATCATCATAAAAATGAATCTATTCCTATTTGATGCCTTTGGGGTAATCGAACTAATGACATCTATTCCTTACATAGAAAATGGCTAAGGTGGTGTCATAACATGTAAAGCAGTGGGTGGAGCATGAATCTTATCGGTATAAATATGGCATTTATGATATTTTCGAGCATAATCAATTTAGTCTTTCTCCATTGTCAATCAATAATAGTTAGCTTCTATAATCTATCTTGCCATCATATG